ATACTACTTATTATTTTTATTATATATAATATATATATATATATATATATATATATATATATATATATACCATTATGAAAAGAGAAATATAACCTATCGATACAATTATCGCGTTAAAGTCCGTTAATTATAATAAAAATAACAAATATAATTAGAACATAATCTCTTTTAATAATATAGAATTGGGCAAAGCAGTCTCGAATTATGTACTTTCGGGTAAATTCGTTCCTGATGATATAATGATCTCAATGATACACGAAGAAATCAAAGCGATCGGGAGTCAAAATTGGTTATTAGACGGTAAGTAGGATATAGAAATTAAAATTTTTATTTTTATTTATTTAGACCACGAATGTGCGATAACCACACGTGTACAACTAAACTTGAATAAATAGTTGGCATTGATACAGGATTCCCAAGAACGTTAACGCAAGCGGAAAAACTACAAAAAATACATCCAATTAATTTGGTTCTTTATCTGGATGTTCCTTTCGAAGTGATATTGAATCGTGTGAAAAACAGATGGGTTCATTTGCCCAGTGGAAGAGTATATAATATTGGATTCAACAGTCCCAAAGTACCGGTAAGTTGACGATAAAACTTTTTAACTGAAATGTATCGTTGGCAACATACCAATTGTTAAAACTTCAAAAATTTTTTTCGATTTAGTAATCAAATTAATTTTTTTAATTTTTAATAGGGTAAAGATGATGTGACTGGCGAACCTTTAAGTAAAAGGGACGATGATAAGATCGAAATTGTACAAAGAAGACTACAAGAATATTCAAATGCGACTAAACCAATTTTAACATTTTATAATAATTTAGGATTGCTAAATACTTTTCAAGGTAATACTACCGATGAAATATGGCCGCATATTAAGAAAATCATTACAAAATTTTTGTTACAATAGTAAATTGTTAGGATACATTAATATTTTGTAAAAAATGTATAATGAATTAATTCAAAGTTGAATTAAGACTAAACTATACTATAACTAAACTATACTATATATCATATGCTTCCATTAATTTGCGCACAAATATTAATGAATTCAGTAAATTTATACAAATTATGCAAAAAAATTTATTATATATTTTTCTGTAGCATATATATATATATATATAAAATAATTTAATATCAATAAAGTACAAAATTTGTTAATTTTTATCTATAGTTTTTACTTATTTTATATAAGTTTAATTCAATTTTTTATATAGTCACTTTATATAGTCAATTATAATTTATATAATAATATATAAATATACAAATAATCATACAAAAATCATTAACAAAATAATAAATGTAATAATTTATATATATATTTTACTTATGTTTTATAGATACCAATTATAAAATATTGTATATAATTGTAACTTTGATATAAAGAGATCAAAGCCGATTCGATAAAAATATTTCTTGAATTTATATATTGGAAATGTTTTAAAAATGTATTGTGTATAATTGTGTTATAAATAGGAAATAAAATTTGGGACATGATTTTCATAGTCTTTTTTTATATTTATTTTTAACTGTACCGATATAAGAATTTTAACAATTTTTAATTGTGTACAGAATTTAATATGAGTATAATATACCTTATATATCATGCTCACATTTTCTTTTTATTTGAAAATTTAGTCAATCTTTTAATAATAACAATATTTTAATTAATGTTATATATACTTGTTAATTACATTAATGTTTCTCTTTCATAACATAAAACGTTATGTAAAACGCAATGAGAACTTAGTATAAGTTCAGTATAATTTTCAAAGCCGAAAAATAAAAATATTAAATAAATAAATAACTTAAAATTATATAATATGAAAAAAAAATGTTTAAATTATTTGAGACTTAAACGTAACAACAGGTAATTAACAATTGAATTGTATAATGCGCACTCATGCTTGCATACGTACGTACATTTTTATTTCAAGGACAAAACAAAATATTATTTATATTGCATTTTGCAAGGAATCTAATATTGCTGCGTTATAAAATAAGTTATATCAGGAACATTTCCGTGAAGGAATTAAGAAATTTTTATAAAAATTACTCTTTATAGTAAAGTCGTCAACTTACGATCTACGCAAGTTCTAGACACGATCATCAATGAAAAGGAATAAATATCTTCTTGCGATAATTCTAGGTCATATACTAAATTAACATTCTAACGATTATTTAAAAGCATAATTTTTGAGATCAATAAACAAGATAAAAAAAATTGTGCAACAACACACTTGAATACAAAAGCCGCATTAAATTATGATCACAGAACAATGTATCGACGATAATGCTTATTTCAAATTTATAAATTCGCATTATCACGAATAGAAAATATTCGATATATTAATTCATATCAGTCGTTCAACGAACATGTTGAGATCTTCAAAGATCATATCGCGGCAAAAATTCATATTAAGAAATTAATATTCAACTCTCTAATACAATACAACATTACTATCTATTAAAGTCATCAATTGGTTTTTTACCCTTGTACATATATGGACGAATGAACGGAGAATTCTGATTAATGATGATCATTAACGTCTTTCTCCAAAAACTATCCATGAATGTATTAAGTACGTGATATATCTTTTCTTTTTTTTTTTTTAATTGACAAATATCTCATTGTACTAATTCAAATTCTTCACATTCGTCAAGATCGTCATCGTATGTTCCATTACCTGTAAAAGAGGTAGTAGAAGGAATTATATTTTCTGCAATTTCAATTTTTTGATGGAGATCTTTTCCACTTCCTTCACAAAATAAAAACATTGGATAATCGATTTTTTCATCTTCTGGCACCAAATACTGTAATATTAAAAAATATATATATATGTATATATATAATTGGATTTTTAAATTATTTTTAATAATTCAATGAAATTTATGAAAAATGATTATATATACCGAAGGAGCAATTTCCATAAAATTTGTAAATTGCATTTTATTATGAAAATAAAATCCCACACAACAACTAGGATCCATTTTTGAAATTAACATTTTTCTTGGTGAAGTACAATGAAAACTTGTTAAAGAAAAATTATCTTTTAATACATCAACAGTTTCTTGACAATAATGTGGGTCTAGATTAATTAATTTATCTTCCTGGAAACCAATAAAATAAAGCGAATGCCGAGGTCGACCACCGATAACTCCAATACAGGTATCTAATGTAAGTAAATGTGTTAAACAAGATGTATAAACAGGATTTAATTTGTCAGCACCAAGTCTTAAAGGTACAAAAAGTATTAAAGATTTCCATTTGCCATCTGGTGTTTGGCATACATTTTCTATATCCTGCAGATAAACTGTAAAACATAAAATATTAAAAACTAAATTAATATGAAAAATATACGAAAAAATATCGATTGAATAACTTTTATTTGAAATATAAACAATTTAGCTATTATATCACCTGCACAATCTTGAGCAACATAAACAGCTAAATTATTAAATGCTGGATGTCGTTCTGCTGCATTCTCTACTGCTTGGCTTAAAAGATGAGCAACAGAGGATGGCCCATACCAATCTCCTGCACGTTTTCCCCACAATGCACCCAAAGATACAAGTGTATGTATAGAAAATGGAGATGTACGCTCTGGTAAATCTCCAAATGATTTAATTATTAATCTATGGTTATATTCATCTAATTTTTGTTGTTCTGTTTTTATTGGTTGATCTGGTTGCCATCTCCATTCTGTAGAGAAAAAATATTATTATTTGTAAATAATATATGTGTCTGTGTGTGTGTAAAAAAAATAATATAAAATATATGTAAAAAAATAATATATATATATATATAATTAATATTATTATATATATATATATAGAAAAATTATATTGCAATTTATGACTAATAAGTTATAAAAAAAAAAATAAGTGCCTCTTCCAAGAAAATGACAGACTAATGCCTGTGCCAACATCATTTGGCCACTACGTAACATACATCCCCAACCACAATCAGTAGTGAATGTAGAACCATTTAATATAGGAAATTCTCTTCTATATGTTAACCAAAGTCGCGATGTAAAATCTTTTTTAAATTCTTCTATACCATCTTCAAAACTAATAGCATCCATTGCTAAAGATATCTCACTTCCAGTGTCTAAAGTTTTATCTGCTTCAGAAGCTTTTTCTAAAAATTCTTCTGGCTTCTTACGATAAATTTTACCAAGCAAACATACAGGAGATTCTTTTGAGAAATTTGGTTTTACTACCTTAATAGTCCAACCTTTAATGAAATTAAATCTAAATTATTTTTTTCAATGCAAATATTACAACATTTATTACAATCATATAAGATGGATTTACACTAACCATATTTAACATTATTCCACATAGATAATAATTTCGTTTTGACTTTGCTATCAACTTCTGTGGCAACATTGGAATCATCCATAGATAATCCATTATTTGTACCAGTTAGCTGTATGTTTGGAACACGATCTGTAGTAATCATTCCAGAAAAAAGACCTATTGTACTGTTACTAAAACCTCCTAAGAATAAAGTGATCTTTCATATATTATTGTTTTAATCTAAAAGTATTTTTCTCTCCAACAGATTACGAAAAAGTATTTGTATCGCGAATAAAGAAAATATAAAAAACTGTGAAATATGACTAATAGAAGCGAATCATCGTTTCTCGCAGCCATAAACGGTAAAGGAAAGAAGCGATTACTAGGAATTTTTCGTACTTGATTGATTTAGATATTCAAATCGAACTTACCTAACCTCTCCCTGGAAGGTTGCACCTGTCCATTCATGCCCAATAAATAAATTTTAGAAAGCATGTACTCCAAGACATTTAAATATTGACAATTAAATACAGGAAGATAGATAATCACATTTTTGTACGCGCACAATTATAGTTACGCTGACATCACATTCGAACGTAATTTTATCGTATTGCATATGAACAACTGGTTACTATTGTCACAGAACAATCTAACACGATTATGCATTAGTCGATGCATGAACCGAATTCAACATTAGGCCCATTACCAGCCTACTATCAAGTTAACGCTCCATTTCGTTCAAATGAAATATCAGGTTCGTAAAACACTCTACAAGAATAATTTGTTTCTTGAAGGATTCGAGTCAACTCGAGAATTAAAGAAACAAATAACACGTCGCAAAGCAAACGATCAAAAATAGTTTAAAGACACGCAAGCCGCCAACGGAAAAGGACGCGTGTTTACAAAGAGCGTTGTGAAATTTAAAGCGCCCGTTGAGCACATCAGTAGCGCCGTTCGGCGGCGAAATCAAACATTATGAAATTGCACGTACAAGTGCATCAGTACTTATGCAAGGATTGCACTGAGTAGATCTGATTTTGAAATTGATATCTTATCAAAAAAATACACATACCATACATATATGAGTAATATGAGTAATATTTAATCGTTTGAATAAATAGTATAAAAGCTAATCTTTTTTTTTTATCGATACACGATAATTATCACAAGAAATTTTTCAAAAATCAGAAAAAAATGTTGAAATTAATTACTTTTTAAATAAATCTTTAATCTTTAATTTAATATACAGTTGATTATTTTATTATTAATAAATTCATAATTTATCATCGTTTTGTGTTCAATTATTTTATATTACGGTGCTTAAAATATATTAGTTCGTTCTTAAAAATGGATTGCCATTTCGTTAATTAATATCTCTCTTTTTTCAAGAGGTTAACAAACGTACCGCTTTTAGTCGGAATTAAAAAAATCCTACGATAAAGGTATTGGCCGTTTCATTGGATAGAAACATAATAAAAATCAGAGTGTTTCTATTTAATTTATTCAAATTATTAATTAAAAGTTCGTTTCTTTTAAAATTTTATTTTCGTTACTATTTTAAAGATTTTAAAAACAAGAAAAGAAAAAAGAACAAAAGGAAGAAAAAAAATATAATTTCGTTATTACACGAAGAATCTCGCACAATTTTTCTCAATGAATTCTTTTTCACACTTTTTGAATTCTAATTGATTACCAATAGAAATAGGAAGGAACAAAATGTTCAAACCATCAAAAGAGTAGGATTAATGGAGAAATAACAGAGCGTAACATTATCCCTTTTCATCGCAGTGTAATAATGCACTTTTGTTAGGAAGGACCAATGGCGGGGAATAGAGAGAAAATTGGGTGGAAAAAGAAAGCAAGCAGGAGGGAAGGATGGGAAGAAGGATGCTCCAGAGGGAAAGGGGAGGGAGCATAAGGTTCAAAGGAATAGATAGAAGCGACGATTGTGTGTATGACAGAGATAGATATGGGAGAAAACTGTCATGCGCGTCTTGTCGTGGAATAACCAATGGGATACGCGTATCCCGGCTTACCTCATTGATTACCACGTTCGCGCTCGTTCTAAATTTCATATTGTGTTGTCGCGCAGCCGTTGCAAAAATATAAATCGGTGCCTCGTGCCGGGCATCGGTACCCAGTAGAAGCAGAAGATTGATGGAAGGAAATGGAACGGTGTCTGTCATGACAATAATCTTTCCTTTCGGTGTTGTATTAACAATAGTCTCTAGCAGGTATATTGAAAGCTTCGGGGCAAATCTTCATAAAAGGAGGGAAGGGGAAAGGGAGGAGGGATAGTTCTACGGGGTAATTCGAAGGGTGGAGGTGAGACGAAAGGGTAAGGTGAGAGTGTGCTTCTCTAAAGCTGGCTCGCCGTACTTAAGCATGCACACACACACACACACACACACATATATATATATATATATATACACACATACGTATATATGCCATCAATAAAAGCCGAGGCAACGCTGGAAAATCAACAAAAGGACGTACATAGCGGGGATAATTATTTGCACGATAAGTATAACTCGTTCTTGTTTAGATAACTCGCGAGGAGGTAGGGAATGACAGAAGAAGATCAAGAAGAGATGGTAGGGGTAGCGAGACGGAAATTAGGTCATGCAAGAATATCGACGGACCGACGTAATCACGGTGCACAACGGTGAATAAGGACATTAACGAGTCACGCTTCACTCCCTTAAGATCCTTTCTGCCACGGTATCGGACGAACTGTATAGAGTGAATAGAGGGTTGGGAGAGGGGCGACAGTTTGATGGAGTCACGGTCGTTTACTAGCGATCGATCCGCCATCTTGTGGCACATCGATCGAACCCGAGGATCGACGGAAGGAAAGTCGATACTCGAAACGCGGTATCGATTCGAGGTGGAAATTACAGGATTTTAACTCGAAATCGCTCAATTCATGAAGATCGCGATAATTCTCTTTGGGTACAGAGAGAGATTCATTAATCAGGGCTCTATATATATCTGTTATCTCAAAGACGAATATGCACCGAACACGTTGAAATGTGTAAACGTAAACACGATATTATTAGTTCGAATCGGAACGAATAGATCGATTTTCGATTACAAAATCTTTATATCTCGATCTGTGGCTCTCGATCCGTGTCTCTAATCATTTACGGAGACATTTATTCCTCTGTTTGAAATATTTGAGAACAAATATTGTTTACGTTTTGCGAAATGTCGAAAAAATTGGAAAATACGGTCAAAATGCTGGAACAATATGTACTCATATGTACAATTAATGCAAGTTTTCATTATTCTTGATGAGTAGAAAACTGGAAATTACCGCCTAGCGAACGGTCACGAGCGAAGTAGAGAAAAAGCGAGAAAGGAAAATAAATCGGTCGCGAAATACGTGATTTTAACGATTAAGAAGAATACGTACGAATTATTACACGGTAAGTTAAAACAAACTGTGAAATTCGTCGAGTCGCGGATGGACGATTGATTAATACTCTGACGCAGCTGTTTATGGGCGCGCGTTCAAAAGACGAAGTGAAAAACTGCTCTCGCGTAAAGGGACCGTGAAAGATTGGCAAAGTTTGCGGAAACGAGGCAGGCGAAACGAAACTCGGCGAATTTGTTCCGCAAGAATGAAAATCTAATATCGACCGTGAAACTGTAGATATATATATATATATAGTCATTTATCTTTGAGGTAAAAATAACGTTATCAAATTATTCTAAATTTCAATAAAATACTAATAACGTATCATTGAAATATAATAATCTTCTTCTTATCTTTATACTTTAGCCTACCTAACCTCACTTTTATTTCAAGATTTTTTACGCGAAAAAATCTGTTTCGCTTCTCGCGAAGAATATTATTATTTCTCTCGCTCCCCCCTCCCTCCAAATCTAATAATAATTTCGTTGCTAATCTTCGCGTCGTTTGAGAAGATTGCAATGAAATCCCATCGCGGAAACTGGATACGCAGAATATCCGGCGAATTAGTCCGACCCAGTCGAAGGATTTCGTTTTTAATAATTAAATCGCATCGTCGTGATCGTTATCGTATCGTCGTTGCCAGACATTTTAACGCGTGCCGCGTTTAAACATATTATTATTCCTCCTTCCAGTGCAGTTTATCCCGGGACAAGAGTAAATCCTGGACAGATGACACGACGTTTCTCTCGACGACGTATGACGTGTAACACGGCTGTTCAAACGGGCCGGAAGGCACGAGCGAGGACAGAATCGTATATATAACCGTTCTTGTCCTCCCATCTTAAAAAACGTGCAAACATCAAGACACTCGTTACCTTCGCTCTTCCATCGTTCTCCCTTTAAATCGGAATCAATGGACAATCGGAACGACGAACAAACGAATGGTAAACGGATTCTTCGAGGAGAAAAAGGTTTGCCTCCAATTCTGTTTAATGCTCCTCGAAAACGAAAAGTGGCCATTTCCACACGGAAATTCGATCCATCCGATTTCCAGCCTCGCGCGTCCTCGCATCGAGCACGCGAGAAGATTTTTCACCGAGCTACCGTTTATGTGTATATACGAACTGTGAATTTCCACCGCTCTCTCTTTCTTTCCACCATTTTTCTCGCGACACGAAGAATCGTTGGTAAAAATAACTCGGTCACCCGTTTGGAGAACACGGATTGGATTGGTTCGTTCGCAGTTTTCACGACACGTGCACGCTGGCCGATTCTTTTTTTAAAATTCCACCACGGCCAAATTCTCCAATTCCTCGGGACTCCCCTCCCCTCTATGGATCGATGTCGTTGCTCGTTCGCGAATGCGACAACACTGTACACCGTATACTATAATATTTCCAGGAGCACGTGACTCGGCCGTGTCGCCGACCATCCACAAACACCGTTCCAATTATGATCCGTTCGCAAAGTAAGCGAATCCTTTTCCTTCCTTCCTTCCTTCCTTCCTTCTTCTTCCTCCTTCCTTCCTTCTTTTCTTCTCTCTTCTTTTTTCCCTTCGAAAAGCAACAAATCTCATCACCACCTCTTTTCCACTCGATCGACAACGGACAACGCTTTCCCCATCCATTCCCTTCGAGATAATCGTCTATATATTTACATATTCATAGGATGGGAACGAGCCGGAGAAACTTCTTCTAGAAAGGAGAGGAGAGGAGAGGAAAGGAGCCACGCGGAAAATCGAAAAGTTGGCGGGAGATTCGACGATCGCGCGGAGGAGGAGGGGGGAGGGGGGAAAGAGGAGGAGGAGCGAAAAACGGTAATAGCGGCTCGACTCGTCGCGCGGCGGGGGAGAAGCGAGGGTGGAGAGAGAGAGAGAGAGAGCGCGCGCGCGCGAAGAGGAGGAGGGCGGAAGGAAAGGAGATACGAAGCGGAGGGTGGTCGGGCCGGCCGGCCAGTCGTGCTGTGGCGGCAACCACAGACGCGTAGTCGCTTCTCGCCCAACGTCATGTTGCCAAACAACCCCCGTCAGCGAGCGTCATCCCCGTCATCATTTTCGACACGACGACGATCCGGATGAGTTAGTCGGTTTTAACAGCCGACCGGGGAGAGAGCTCCCGGAGCCAAGGACACCGTTCATCCCCCCCTCGATCACCCGGTTCATCCCTCCACGCCTAATATCAGCTGGTCGAATAATCGAGCCGTCGGTGGGATCGTCCCGCCGCTTCCTTCCTCCGCTCGTTCCGCCTCGAGACGACGGGCGAGACGGGTCCGGGATCGAGTGTGGTGCGAGTTCGATTCTCGGTGTGTGCGATAAACGTAAAGCCTGGTGGTGGCCGCACCGCTCGATCTTCGGGATCGAGGCTTGTGGTGCGCGTCGAGGTACACGTGCGAGGGGTGGTCGGCGAATCGATCACCGGGGGAGGGGAGTACGAGTGCTCGGCTCGAAGAATCGCGAGGGAGGAGTGGAGGAGGAGGAGGAGGAGGAGGAGGAGGAGGATCGACCGGAGGATCGTCGTGGATCCTCTCGAGGGATATATTCGAGGATCGTCCGAATGGTGGTGAGTAGCGGAGGAGTGGGGGGAGGAGTCTCTCTCTCTCTCTCTCTCTCTCTCTCTCTCTCTAC